CTACTTGAGTGAGCGATGCGTCTGCGTGGACAGCTCCTATACAATAATACATTTCCATTTACCTCCTTCTCTATATCCATACAAAATATCTATCAAACAAATAAAATTAAAATTTTCTTTTGAAAAATGAAACCATTCCATCAGTATTTTCTTATGACGTTGTCACGTTCAACTATCGTCAGTAAACCGACTTTACAGACAACCGGTTTTTTAACAAAGAAATAGCCATTAACAATACCAACAAACACCCTGTATAATGTCTATTATAGGTCTCAATATCAATAAGTAGGTACGAAAATTATTCTGTACGCATCATATAAATATATATATGCTTTACTAAATCCAATCAACTGACCTTTCCAGACAATAATTACCATATTTATTACAGTGAAATATTTTTTTAAAGTCGCTTGCTCTTAAACTTCTACGTCATACATACTCATATGTAGGATGCATTTCGAAATAGAGTCGGTAATTATATATTAGAAAATTTCCATACGAGAGTACTGTCTAATATTTTGTTATACAATAAAAAAAAGAATGCCGTAGGTTCGTTTTATCAGCACTAATTTCGTGTTTCGAACAAATGCAAGTGTGCCAACGGACCTTCGGACAACTAAATCAGTCGCGATGTTATCTTTTGTTATTTTCGACGGCGAGAAAAAAAAAAGAACAGAATATAGCATACTTATATTACTACAAATATTGTTGAGATACGTATGCCTCTACACAATCGTAATCATAAAAGTATAGTACAAGAGAGAGAGTGAAAATTACGAAAGAAAAGCAAACGAAGGACTTACAACTAGATGTACCTACCACATATACCAATTAAAACTAAATTCACGTCTAAACTCTGTTTTAAAAACTGTAATTAAAACATTGTTATAAAATATTGTTCTACAGTACTTAGGTATGTTTGCTTGTTTGTCAATCTCAGTTGCCGTAGAAAAAGCAGTGAAAAAATTAACTTTCTAAAATTAATAATAAAATTCGTTTAATTTTTTATTCATTACAATCTACCTCAAATTCACGAGGAAAAATTGTCGCTACCCTCAATACAATAGATCGTGGAGTATACCTACTGGGGAAACACCGTAAAAAAAAATGCGCCAAGTACATTACTCCATAGGTGGCGCGGAAATGTGTGCATATTATGTAAAATATGAATTTTCTAATGATTAAAACCGCGATATCTCACGAATGGTGAGTCGTAAGTGAAAAAGTGACTGGGTCATTTTTGTAGAGAATTGTATGATCTACAACTTTTGGCTGGCCTATTTTCACATTAAAACTTACCGTTTTCGAAAAAAATCGAAAAAACCTTAATTTTGCACTTTTGACCTTGAATAAATTTTTTTTGCAGAAGTACGATCGCAGGGGACTTTTGACATTTTATTTATAATGACGTATTTAACGTCTCTGCCAATTTTCAGCTCTAGACGAATTTTGGCTTAGTCAAATGTCTATTTTGACTGGACTATAGTCGGGAATTGAACCGGGAACAATGCCTTGACATGTAAGGTACGAGAGGTGACAACAGTAAGAACGGCGAAACGTAGGTCACAGATTTGTCGGTCTAATGTATATACAGGGTGTCTCATGGTGACCACCCATTAGAATATGTCTGGAACTACAGCGATCTAAATTTTGAAAATTTCTACAATAGCGTTATTGGGTATGCTCTCCTCAATTCAAATAACGGCATCTATGGAGCACTTCCGGTTATACCGGATGTTAACATCAACTTCGTTATTTTAAATGGAACACTATATATTATGACGGTTTTGAATTCTACTTATGATTTTTTATTCTACTTCTAAGTAGGTAGCGAAAAGGCATGCCTATTTTACAGTAAGAAAGCTGGAGCAACAATATTCTCAAAAAAGATAGCTATGCTCTCAAACTTCCCGTCCATACCTTAAAAGTGGGTTAATTACATGCAGGGTGTTAAATATTTAATGGCGGATTTGGTTAAATTCAAACAGTCGTAAGTCTGTTTTTTTTAAATGGAACACCCTGTATGTATTTTCTTAGCCTTGTGCAGAATTTTATTCTCTTTCGAATGGTACTATGGTTCCCTATACTCATCTTCTCTAGTTTTGCACTTACTGTAAATGCAACCAAAATCGTTTAATTTTTTACGAAGATGGCTGTGAAATGTTTGTAGTTGTTGCTACTGTTACAACCTCGCCGGGAATCGAACCCAGGACTCCTTTGTAGTAGATAAAAATTAGGTGAATTTTCATATGAATTTTACTTATATAATTTAACCCCTATTAATATTCTTAAAGCATTTGAAATGAACTTTTTGTTTAAAAAACGAAGAAAAATAATATACAAACATTTAATTGTTAGGAACTATCATAAAACGAAAAGATTTTTAAAGATTATTTAGATACTTGGCCAGGCAAACCTAAATTTACAATTATATTTTATAAAAAATCTATACAAAAAAACATATTTACATAAAAATATAGTAACTTAATATTCAAATTTTTTTCTAATAAAAAGGTATGTATAAGCAAGCGACATTGTACTTTAAATGGAATACTATTTTGTAACAAATCGTTGTTTTATAATTTAAAATATTAATAATCACTTCGTAGATACTTGTTTTCATAGATAAAATCATCATAAAACGTTTAAATACCTACCTACTACTTAATTTTGAAAGCATCTAAACACGTAAACGACGACAGGTCTTGGGGCTCTGTAATCCCTCATAGTTTTATTAGAATCATTTGTTTCTTTATTAATGGATTCCATTAAAAAGAATACAGATAATAGAATCAATTCGCATTAATGATTCTTTTAATGGTTACCAATTTAGTTTTATTTAATACAAAGTCGATCCGACGGGACTTGAACCTTGACGAAGCTCGTGCAAATTAGAATGGGTGAATCGGTTTGCGAGTTTCAGTGATTTAGGGAGCCGGACCATAGGTTCAACCATCAGGGTGGCAGGTATGGCATTCTGGTGCACAATACTGCGATGTGGAAGGCAACGGGAAACTACCACATTATGATATCCCAAAAAAAAAACAATCCGAACTCAAATGATACCTCGGGGGGTGTCACCGATATGTGCAATAGGGGAAGGTCGGAATCGGAGCGTGGAATGTTAGGACAATGAGGCAAGTAGGGAAATTCGAAAATTTGAAATTTGAGATGAATAGACTAGAATTAGATATAGTAGGCGTTAGTGAAGTCCGTTGGCCAGAAACTGGAGAGTTCTGGAGTGGAGGCTTTCAAATAATACATACAGGATCGGTGAAAGGTAATTCGGGGGTAGGAATTGTAATGGGTAGGAAAGCAGGGCAGAGTGTAGAAAGTTATTTACAAAAAAGCGATAGGATAGTTATAGTTAAATTAAACTCGAAGTCGGTAAAAACGGTGATAGTGCAGGTCTACATGTCTACATCATCTTACAATGATGAAGACGTAGAAGCGGTTTATGCAGAGATAGAAGACGTGTTAAATCTAGTGGAAGAGCAGGAAAGCCTAATAGTTGTAGGAGTTATCCAGGAGCAGATATAGATAACGACAATAACGTAGTAGTTATGAAGACCAATCTTAAATTGAAAATTCTGAAAAGTGGAAAGGTAGGGGACGTCTTGACTTAGAAAATGTAACGAAACTCGTAATAGGCTAGGTACAAGGACAGACCAAATACTAAAGGAGGCGGGAGAAACGAATAACAGGGACATAGAGACAGAATGGAACTGCATTAAAACGTGCCGAAAGTCAGCAGCTACAAATATACCAAGTCATTTTGATAGAAATTGAGGAAAAAGCAGATAGGTGGAAAGAATATTTAGAGAATCTATACGCAGGCCATGAGTTAGGAAATATATTAGAGAAGGAAGATAGTCTGGAGATAGAGGAGCTAGATTATCCCATAATGAGAGAAGAATTCGGTGTTGCATTAAAAAAACTAAATAATAAGGCGCCAAGTCTAGAAGGAATACAGGCAGAATTTCTAAAACATGCAGGAGAAGAGGTTAGAGATTGTATGTTTAAGCTAGTTAGTCACATTTGCGAGACGGGGAAAGTCCCAGAGGATTATAAGTGGAACGTGTGGTAGTAACCATACCTAAAAAGAGAGGCGCGGATAGGTGCGAGACATTTAGAACAACTAGCTTAACTTCCCATGCGTCAAAAATCTTAACTGGAATTTTACAGAGTAGGCTGGAAAAAAAGGCGGAAGAACTATTAGGGGAAGATAAATTGGGTTAAGAAGAAATAGAGGAACGCGGAAGACCATTCTAGCCACCGAAAACGATAGAAAAAGGAAAGAGTGCGTACATAGGATTTATAGATTTAGAAAAGGCTTTTAACAATGTTAAATGGAACAAGATGTTAAATATACTTAAAAATATAGGGATGAATTACAGAGATAGTAAAGTGACTCATAGTTTGTATAAAGAGTAATAGAAAATTATAGAGCTGGAGCAGCAACGTAGAGAAGTAAATATTAGGAACAGAGTCAGACTGGGTTGCACATCGAAGTCGCAATCAACTTCATTAAAGACAGGACAACTGTAGAGATAGATATACAGGGGTAAAAGATTTGTATGCTTAGATTTGCAGATGATGTAGCTGTATCAGCATCTAGAAAGGAGGAGTCAGAGATGTGGGTTGTTCTAGTTTTAGGGAAATGCGAAGATTAGCTCAGGATAGGAAAGAGTGGAGGTGTGTGTCCAACCAGTCTTAGGACTGACGACCTTATGGTGATGAAGATGATCGAAAAATATGTGGAATTTCGTTCAATTTTTCAGTTTTTGGGTCGCTATTAAAATTTCTCTCCTCGACTGTCACTGTCCAACCCCCCAATTGTCCAGACAATAAACCAATTACTTAAAATTTGTCAACTGTACTAGTAAGAAAATTTAAAAACCGAAGGTCGTGCGATGTCATAACGAAACTCATCGGTTGACTTGATAATTCCTGATAGAATGGCCTATTTTGGTTGTACTATTTCAATTCCTCTGTTACAGGTATTTCATCAGTTCAGTTCATTCAAAATAGATACAACCACCAGATTAATCGGAAAGTAGAGCATCCTTGGTAATATGAAAACCAAAAAGTACCTTTACAAGATACTGACTTCAGATTTTTGCCCCAAACTCGTGCTACAACCTTTCTTTCAATGTCGGAATCCTAATAAGTAGATACTTTTAGGAATTTGAGGAACAAATAGGACTGAACAAAGGTGGGTGCATACTTTTGAATAAAATTTATTGGTACTTAAATATTTCTTAGTTGTAAACAGAAAAAGGCAAAATAGGAAATTATTGTTGCATAGTATCCATAAATTATTCATATTTAAGTCACTGGTACAAAGTTGGTACATCTAAGTTCTTTATAAAATTAACTGTTACTAGGATTCGACCATGACCGCGTCTATTTTAGTTAAATTAACTTTAAATAAAATGCCCTTTTCACCTCGGTACGCCCATGTGTACATATATTGACGGCAAAAACCATCCCTTCGCCTAGTTTCGGAAGTCGAAAAAAAATTAAGTAAAACAACTAAACCCAACCCAACCCATGATTACACGAATCCAACCTATGAATCATTTATTTTTTTAAGGTTTTTCTGTGGCCATGTCCCTTACTTTGTGTACCTACAAAATAAGCCGTACAACATATCCACTTTCAACGAAATCGTAATCCAAATATTCCTTTATATTCATACACGTACATATTTCGTTTCATTGTATACAATCATTATTTACATTTGAAATACGATGTTTTGCAATACAATTTTAACGGTTAGGAAGCAAGTTAATACCAGTACACAGCATTTAACATTCTTTTGCGTTTTTCTGTAGGCGTTACTTTCCTGTTACTATCTGTATCTTGATTATCCAAATTATTTAAGCATTTTCGTGATTCTTAATTCAATTACAAATAATTTTTTTTTTCAGAATTACCATTTATTTTATGTTACAAATTAATCTTAAATTACAAAGGAAATTATAACTGTAATGCTATTGTAATTATTCTTGAGATATGAAGGGATTTTGAATAGCTTCCATTCCATCAACTGGGCATATTAAAACAACTGATGTTCCCCTGCATACAACTAGTCCTAATGGTCTTGTGTCTTCGGTTAATTTGTACGGGTCATCTGGGTCTCTTAAATACTCTGTGGTATTGTCCAAAACTAAATTCAAAAGTGGATCGTAACCTTTCAGTATACCTGATGCTTCTCGACCTCCGGCAAATTTCACTCGGATACTCTTCTCCAAATACTTTGATAGGTCTAGAATCGATTCTTTTCGTTTTTTCTCTTTCTGATCTCCTGCGCCCTTAAAAACAGCATACGAACCAAATATTGCGAACTCAATCTTCAGTTAAGTTTATATTTACCTTTTTTTCAGACATAGCTGTAGCTAAATGAAACACTGGCACTCATGAATAATTCCTGGATAGTTTTAATGTTCGTGAGAACGTACAACTAATGAATATTTACTGTATTTTAACCGGCAATAACAATAATTAACCACTGAAAGTCTAAACAAAATAAGGTTATGTTGAAATACACGTTGACAAGATCATAAATTAGAGATATATTGACATATTATCGAAGGAAGTGTCTATTGCATCATTACATGTTAATTATTCCGGTTACTTAATCAATTTTGTTTAAACTTTTACAAAAAGATACATTTTATTCTTTTCGATTATAAAAAACAAAATATTTTTTCAATACCATTTGTTAACGTTTTCCTCATCGCTTCTTGTAAACCATACCACAACAGTCCCTCGACAATTCTACATTCTCCCCCATATGGGGTTTTCCCAGAAATTGCCAACCACAATCAATATTTAAATACGATAAAATTAAGTAGAAAGAAAGATAACCCACATGTTAAGACTTTATTTTAAACTATTGCAAAAAATAACATAAACACTGAATAAAAATAATTGTTTGTTCTTATCAAGCCATTTTCTGTCAATTTACATCTAAGTATATATATATATATACATTAGCATTCTTTACTGCAAAACTTTTAATTTGCTGGAGTCTCCACTAAGGGTACAACAGGTTTATCGGCTACCTGAACTGTTTTGGCCAATTCTCCACTTTTTACCCTTTGCCAGGTTTCTTCAAATTCATCTACCAATGGCGAGTCAGTATCTTCAAGGTTTGCCAAATGAGGTTTCGCTTTATATTTACTTTCTACAGCTTCAAGGGCCAACCGATCCGCAAATTCACAACCAGTTATTTCAAAGAATAACTTCTCAGGCTCTATTACATTAGGAACTCCTTTACGTTGGAAGAACTATAATAATAAAAGTTATTTTTCAAAAGATTCACTTATCAAAAGAAAGACTTACATTACAAACGTTTTCACAATCCCTCATCAAAAATCCAAATGAACCTATATGTCTGGGTTCTGTTGACTGACCAACATCAATAAAATAGCATTTGCCTTTATACCACAAGATATTGTACTCTGATAAATCAGCATGAATAAGCTTAGCTTTTTGATATAAAATTTTCATATTTTCTATCACCTAAAAGGAGTTCATTCTGTCATAGTAACTCAAATAGAATTGTAGTTATCCAACTAAGTAGGGATGATATTCTTAAAATGTATATAAAAACATGTTTTGTATTTACTTGATGATAGGCATCTTCATATTCACATTCATCCAATGTTGCATTCTTTAATTTAGGTGCTGGCTTATGATTTTCTCCTATAAAACTCATTACCAAGACGTGGTGCTTCAAGTATACGACTTCTGGGCAAGGTATTCCAACCCTTTTCATCCTATTCAAGTTATGCATTTCCTACAGAAAAACAACATACACATACAGAATTAATTATTATGTTATTTACCTTCTCTGCCCAAAGGTACATAGTTTTTCGCATAGTCTGCTTGCCCATACGCTCTGTAAAACGGTAATCATCTCTAATATATTGATCTCTTTGTTTGAATTCAGACAAAATTGTTTTGTAAACTTTAACGACACATTCCTTTGGTAGTATGGCATCAGAATATGATGGGTCACTTTCGGCATGTAATATTACAGCTTCTTTGCCTAAACATACAATACTATTTGATATTTACTCTTATCAATTTTCAATTCAATTTTTTTTAAAAATGACCAACTATACCTATACTAATAATGCCATTTATATTTTCTAGGATGCGATTGTTAATTATTTTAAATAAAAGAATACGAGTGAACTGGTCAATTCCAAACTCAGCTGTTGCACGATCTTCTTTCTTATCTTTCATGCGTTTTCTTCGTGCTTCTTCCTTAGAGGAGTATATTTTCAAGCTAAAAATTTTTGGTAAGTTTTAATTTAATATGTAGCTTATACAAGTGCAATATGGACCATTATGAACAAATTTTTAATAATACTTTACAAGGAAAGCATACCTGTTGAATACTTTATTAGACATTTGCAAATCAAATCCTGCTCCATCACCGGTATGAAAATCAGGTGGAAAATTCATCATTTTGCATGCATTTCGTGTACCACTCATTACCATATCATGTTTAGTGACCATTGTCCCATCTTCTTTCATTCTGTATCCACAAGATGGAATAATATTGAACTGTCTCTCAACATAATCAAACCTATCCCAATCTCTCTTCTCACTAGGATCTTCCAAAAACCCATCTTCTTCTAAATCACTGGCTATAACACAAATATCAGGTGATATTTCCACTAATTATAGGAAACAAAACTGGAAAAGTATGGGATGATTAAGGTCATAATAAATATTTATTCAAAGACCATATCATGAAAGAATCTCTCCTAAAGCTGAAGGTCTGTTTTTGTGAAAATTACTATTTGGTACTTACTTAATGATGATTGGTTACAAAAAACTATTTATTATATTTCAATTAGGTAACTTAACAACTTAAATAGCACTTCATATTTTTTTTCTTAATACCTATCAGTATTATTATTTATATTTGTATTAAATAATTTTATAAGATTTCACAATATTATGAATAATGAATACAATTCTAACCTCACTTTAAAATAAAAATGATTCATTACCTTCTTGGTCATGTGCCCTACGATAATTACTGAATGATATGGACACTTTGGAATCACCGTTAAATTTATTTTCTGTCTTTTTTAACATATCATCATACTCCAAATCGTACTGCTTCTGTAACATCTTGGCAATCGCTTCATCAGATTTGTATGTTGCATTTTCATCTGCAAATAAAATCGGTGGAGGATCTGGAGAATTGATGCCTTCAGCCTCCCTTAATTCCTTCAGAACCTTTTTAGCATATTTTTGATCTTCTTTAGATTGAATTTCCTTAGCAATTTCTTCAGATAAAATATCTTCAAAATTCACTGGTTCTGGGGTCGCAATTTTTGCCCAAGGAGACGACATATTTTTACAATTAAATATTAATTAACAAATAATAAATAAACTATTAAAAAACTTAAAGTAGTAGGAACACGATAATTTAAAATTATGGAACTTAATCACAAAAAGAATAACCTTCTGCTTCTGCAAATAAAAACTGATTACTGGACATATATATGCACAGTATATACGTAATGTGCTAACGAGTGTCTGACACATAGATTATAGATAAACAAAAGGTAACCTGACATGCGTCTGAAACGAGCAGAGAAGCAGTCAAAATAATCTGAGTTAAAAACGAACTTCAACTGCATACGTCGAAGTGTTCGAAAGTCGCTACTATTATACATATATCTCTTATCATGTCTTATCTATGATTATTACTGCTGCTAATTTATTATACTTATTAGTATTACTGTTTTGTAGAAAACAGAAAATAAAACTTCCGAATCACGGCTTATCCGAAAATTTCACTTTTTCTTATTGGAAATAGCTTTAAAAAGATATATATATTATACCTAAAACTTCCTCGAATCCGACCAAATTGTATCTATTTCTATTGTAAATCGATTACTGAACGGATATTACTTTTTAATCGAATGAAACCTATACCATAGAGGCGAACTGGAAAACGGCCAACTATTGACAATCAGTAGTAACAGAAGAATGTTGAGAGTATTACCCTTTGTGTATCTATTATCTATGAGTATAAATTGACGTATTATCGTGCATCTATAATTCTCCATATTTTTGTCATGATCTATGGTCATGGTGTAAAATGACGTTTGTCGCCATTTTATTATGATTTAACAATTTTACTTGCTTTTTGGTGCTTATTTTTAGGTGTGTATAATTCTTTTCTTACTTAATAGTGTAATTAATATATTTTTTTGTCCATCTTTGCAGATTATCGAACAAATGACTTCAGTTTGGCGCTACTCGAGCAACCGTCTACACGGGTGTGGTCTTTTCTCGACTTCGTTCGTGATTTGATATTTTCATCTTCACTTCGCAACACTATGCAGTTGATTTTCGGCCGATTAGTGGGAGCAACTAAAGATTTATTTGATTTCAAGTGGAACAACAAAATTTCTGCTATGGTGTTCCTGCTGGAGTTGGTTTGCTTTCCACACCTGCAAACTTTGGAACATTACGATCTACAGTTAATTAAGGTGAGAATACATGGCTTCATTAATATTATTAATTCATTAATATTAATTGACAGTTTTTATTTTGCACAGAAGAGATTGGATGCATGGATTATATTCTTGATTTGCTGTTTCGTCTTCGCCTTGTAACATCATGCAGTTAATTTTCAACCCATGACTGAGAGCAACTGGATATTTATTTGAATTCCACTGAAATAACAAATTCTCTGCTACGGTATTCCTCCTGGAGTTGGTTTACTTTTCACACCTGTAAACTTTGGAATGTTA